TCGGTTAAACAGATTTTGGGAATAGAGGGATTTGGTATCTTGAAGAAGCCGAGCCTCTAAGAAGAAGAAATAGAAATATGGATGTAAAAAAAGTATGCACAAAAAAAAAAAAAAAAAAAACTCCACAAATGTGCAGAAATGGCTGAATATTCTATCATCTACAGTTAATATCATCAAAATATTTGGCGAGTCTGATAACATCTTTTTGCGCAAAGCACATAGATGAACATCATTATTAAATATCCATGGCCTTCAGGTCCTCAGGCAGAGGACATATCATTAGAGGCGTTTACCTATTTGGACACAGGAATCCCGGCATGACCATCAGTGAGAACAGCTCCCTGTGCACTCCATAAACAGCCTCCAAAGCTCTGTCAGAACAGAAGAAGTCATAAATTATTACCACCTCAAAACTCCACCATCTTCACTGGGTAAAGAGGTCTGAGGAGAGGTGGTCAAAAACTGTATGCCCATTTTTTTTTTACAGAACAATTACTTCCATTATACTTAAGAATTTTCAACTGACTCTAGTTAAATCTTATTATGTCTCACTCGTAACATTTGCAGGTTTTCTATGCTCTATGTGAATGAAATATATCTTTATGTGACTTGAAAATAATTCTGTTTTCCATCGTCTTTGATTCAAGGTTTTTACTTTCTTGGAATTGGCGATGTACTAAAGAGTTTGCCTCTAAAACTATGTGAACATTACATGCCTAGGTGCCAACATATGTAAAGCAACTAACATTTACCAACTCTTCTATGTCACAATCCATTTAGCAAGACTGTCAGTGGCCATGACCGCAGTATTTTAGCTCCAATCAGACCAGCCACCAGCACACATTAATAGCCTTTCACAGTCCCCACTCATCTGAGGAGCCTCGTCCGTATTGGACACACATAGCTGTGGGCTCTTGGCCTCTCTGGAGTTGACACTTCTGGCTCAGATCCCTGGCATCCGCCGTTCCGTGATTACCAGCTGTCCCTTTCCTGCTCTGTCTGTCAAAGCCCGGTAACTGAGAAACAAACAAACAGTAAACAAAGGGCCTAGTTTAGAACCACCACCCGCCACACCATGACAACAGGTCTGCTGCTCTCTATGCTGCCTGCCAGGAGCTAAGTGAGCGTTACTCTCTGTGAGGAGAGCGAGAGGCCCATCTTCAGTTTCAGACAACACGAGGACCGGTCTTAATCAGCTCGACTGGCGTTGTCTGTCCTGCCTCAAGACAAACGGCACCAGCCAAAAGTAGAATAAAGAAATGCAGAGCGAAACCTTGGACGGGCTTTGTAGATTGAGCAGAAACCTAGCGTGGCTCCTCTCAGGCTGGATTTGTGCCTGATTCTTCTCCATTTCCTGCTTTTCTTATTGTCTCAATCTGTGGACATCTGCATGCTCAAGAGACAAATTCCCCAAACTTGAGACACTTTAGCCACCAACAGAACCCAAGCCTATTAATAGGCTTCCTGCTCGTAAAAGAGATGTGGCTCATGTGCATGTGGATCAGGTTTTTTGGGGGAGTTTGATACGCATGTAATACAATATTAGTTCAATTGTGATGCACCGTCAGAGGCCCCCACTATGGAAATCTGCATGAAATCACTGTCTGGGCAAGGTCATAAATCACCGGTGGCATTGTTTATTATTTCAGTACAGTTTTATGGGGGGCGGGCACTTTGCTGGGACGTCCTGGAGAGGAATGCCCAGCACAGGACCTGCGAGGGAACGGGCCCTTTACTGCAACGAAGGAGTTCGGTGGGAGTTCAGTGAGGATCCGGCCTCTTGGGAATGGTATCGTTACTGTTAGCAATGATTAAAGCACAATCGCATGCAACAAAATGCAAGCACAAAGTGGCTGTGAGTATCATGGCAAGGGGTGGTAAATCTCAGCCGCCATCTAAGTTCTGACAGAGGACTGGGAATCAGGTCAGGAGCCGAGCAGACAGAAATCTAGTCCCCCTCTGTTCTGAACAAGCAGCCAGAGGGGCTGGCCAGCGCGCTCCGACACCCACTCCTTCTCTCTCAGAACCTCTGGTCTGGTTTCGTCTGACTATTTCTCCCGGGCCTTTGAGCATCGGGAAAACTTATCAAAGGGGAACAGACTTCTATTCTGCGACAGAACGGGAGGGCTGTATTTTCAGCTGCTCGCCAGCCCGAAAAGCACACGAGGTGTCAGTGCGTCGGTGGGTTCTGAGGGAGGCACCGTCGGTTTGCTGCGTCCTGCCTGGCCCACGTCAAGGCCTCACCTCAGCCATCACTCCCACTCAGCATGAAAACATAATTGATCTGGATATTAAACTGGCAGCGTGGCTGTAAATAAAATTCCATCCGTGCTTTATTCTGTGGCGTGGTTTTTTGGAGAGCCAACACTTTCCTCCCCGTCCAGGCTTGTGTTACACACTGACAGTCCCAGCTCTGACCACCTCATAAAATCTGCCTCATAAATATTTCTTATTCTTAAGTGTTATTTAAACTAACTTAGCTCTCTCTAAGATATGAGTGCTGGATACATGTAAATTATGCACTGAAGACATTCTCTGTTATTATAGTTTGGGTGAAATATTGGTTTGAGTTTAGGGGCCCTGAAAATGTGCCATGCAGGTTGTGAATTGTACTTAGTTACAGCGCTAGGAATTACGAATAAAATGTGAGTAGAAGAACCGACCCCAAAAAAAACATCAACTATTATTTCAGATGTCACATCAGTGGTAGTAAATAGTCACAGAGATGTCAAACAGTCTTACCGGGAGGTAAAAGGAGGTTTAAGTTGCGATTGTGTGGATTTAAAAGACATGAGTAGTATGTGGGTATGTGATGTTTGGTCTACATTTGTGCCAGCTCCTGTTTCTCTGTGCTTCCTTGTGGGATTAGTGGCCGAAGCAAATGGCATCAGTGTGAATCTGGACACTGGAGAGAGGTCGTGATGCCATTCCAGGAACAAACCAGTGAAAGCGGAGGGAGGTGGGAGGGCTTTAAAACAAATCTGCTGGTTGGAGGAGACAAAAACCCCATACAGGCGATGTTGTAACGGTTCACAAATTAGTTTTTATTAATTTAAACACAATCAAATAATAATGTCAAAAACATCTGTACACATATTTTGCAGACACAACAATCTTTTGCGTTTTCACAATGAGGCCCGTGTAGTGTAAAGTATTTCCAGTTTGCATTTATGATTGCAACATAATAAAAAAAGCGTGCTGTATGAATCTATAAAACATTTCCTCTACCTACCTACCATTACCTTGACCTAGCAGCAATTTGTAGATACCCCGGAGTGCCGGGGGGGGAAAGTTGTTTCAGGACAAAGGGGGGTCTGTTTAGGGGAGAGAAGGATTTGAATTGAAATGCAAAGGCCAACAGTGATCATGTGCAAAGGAGGGAAAAATTAGAAACGCAGCGAGTGGGTTTCTGTTTAAGAAATTCACAGTCGATAGCACATGTCCTGTAAGTTCACAAACCCCTTCGAAGTTAGTGGCTTTTCTCTCATGGTTAATTATGGTTTCCCCGTCCACAGATGTAGAAGCACCACGAAAAGGGCTTCACGGATTTGAGCTACTTCAAAGAGGGACACAGAATGTATTTTCAAAGTCGAAATAAAAACACATCATACAAAATTATGCTTGCTGTACAAGAGTTTTTATAGTGCTTGTATAAAAGATAATAAAACCTATTCAAGCCTGCTCCTTTAAATTTATTCAAATTTGTCATTAAAATGGCTCTCAGGAGGGCAGGAGACTGCCCTTTGCCGTCTCAGAGACTCACCAGAATTAAGTCTGCTTTCAGAAATATGGGGTCAGGGCTGCAAGCTGGTGAAATGCCATGAGGACACAAAGTATGAACTACCTCTCTGGATAAAAAAAAAAAAAAAGAATATAAAAAGAAATACTTCCCTTTGAAACGTGTGTTTAAAAAAGGACTTAAAGTAGAGGAGTCCTGCTACTTTATAAAAAGATGTGGCTGAAGGTTCCTGACAGGTTGAGAAACATCACAGAATCCAAAGACAGGTCCTTGACACTTGACATCCATGCTTTTGGTCTTGACAAAACAACCGATCACAAAATCCCGTTATCTACATATTTGTTTACCGAACATAACACATCAACACTTTCAGGCGTCGCACAAGCTCACGTGCGATGGGATGCCTTTATTTGTTTATTTTATCCTTTTTTTTTTTTACTTCCATTGAAAAGCATTGCCACCTTTCAAGAGCATGTACCTAAATGAATATAGGAAGGAATAGTCCAGTGATTACAAACTTACACACACAGAAAAGATTTCCTCTGTACACGATTGTCTCAGCTTTGTAAATAAAGTTTTTTGTTTATTTTCTTAAATTATTAGAAAACCCCTTTTTTTAATTTCTTCCATAAATGTCTTCCTCTCGCTGTGGTGGAAATCAATAGTACTTTGTAAAAGGCACAAGTCTTTTTTCATCGAGGTACCTTCTCCGTGGCACGGAGCCACTCACAAAGTATCTGTTCATAAATAAGAAGCCCAGGACTTCCACGCTCGACAGAGGAGCGGTCGCTTTGTCCGTCTGTCCCGTTACGGAGGGGAGACTTAAAAGAAGAGGAATCAGATAAAGAGGCGGTGGGGGGCGGGGAGGGCTGAGCTAGAGGGACACCGCCGGCCGGTCAGTGGCCGGCCGGGGCCGAGTTCTGCGGGCGAGGTGAGGCCAGGCTGGAGAGGCCGCCGGTCGCTCTGCTGTCCTCACAGGTGTGAACCCTGACAGAGTCCCGGCTCAAAGAGGGGGGGCTGTAAAACACTTTGACAGCTTCAGAAATTCACAGTAACCAGGGCAGGCAGCTGCTGCGCCGTAAATTCACCTCACTCTCCTCTGCTTTGCAGGAAAAAAAGGAAAAGTTTAGGGTTAAGACGACGTGTGACTGTATGTCAGCACATTAACCACGTGTTTCTTTTTTCCACACTCCTCGTTTTTTTCCCCCCCTTTGTAGTGAAAGACAGGCCCCAGGCAGAGATAGGGCGGGGGTGGGGCGTGGGGGGTGTGGGGGGGGTCTCTGAGCGCTGGAGGCTGCGGCAAGCGTGGGACGGGGCTGGAGGTGAAGGTGAAAGGTTGCTCGATGTGCTGAGGGGTGTACGATGGAGGTGCAGTGCTACAAGTACTCCAGGTCTAGAGCATGGTGGAGAGCCATGAGGTCTGAATGGCTGGAGATCCTCCAGAAGGGCATGTTGTGCTGCGGGATGAACGAAAGAAAGTTCATTAGAACTGATTAGCCTAATGACAGGTTACGTTGAGAAGGAGCCATGCATTTGTCAGGTTCTGGAGCTGAAACAGGCCAGCATTATGCTGCCAACAGTAATGAATGGGACTGCATTAGTTTTTGGGCCAAACTTGGTGGATATGGAAAATTGCAAATATAACAGTTAAGTCACGTTTCTTGTTTGAAAAATGAAGAGATAAACGGCAAAAATAGGGGGAAAATATTAATAATCTATTAATAATTTTTTATCAACTAGAAAAAATAAATTACTGGCATTCTTTCTTTCTAACAATACTTTAACTAGACCAAAGCAATACATTTAATTAGATCATATTCACGCACGATCCAAGACCCGAAGGCTGCCCAGTCGACCCACCAGGAAAAGCAGTCATATCCACATCACACCACAACTGGCTCCCATGTGCAAAAGCCTGCATATCCTTATCTGTGTCTATCTGCAGCTCATTTCAACGTGGCCGTTTCATACCGGCAAACTTCCCCAGTAGCTGCTGTCAGCCTGAACACAAACTCCCCGTGGTGTCTTTTGAATGAGCCTCCTGCCTGCCAGTGTGTTTTTAGGACAGTGCAAATGAGCTGTTGTTCCCAAGAAAAGGATGGGGGGAGAAACCTGAGTCGCAGAGAATGAAAGGAGCATTTCAGGTAGAGTCCTCAGCTCCTCAGTGTGTGGAGCCCATTACCCTCCCCTTATCAAAGGTATGGCCTCTCCCAGGCATATGTTCCGCTTAGGAGAGCCTGCACTGACCCTTAAAAAGCTCTTTGCTTTTTGTTTTGTAAATTGTCTTTGCTTTTAAGTTTAAAAGCTGGAGATGTTATCTCTGCTTTCTCTCCCAGGCGATGGTAATAACTGAAGACAGAATTGTTTCAGGGATTGTGGATTTTTTTTCTCCCCCCGTTTTGTTTTTAAGGTGAAGGAATGAAGGACTGAGAGAACTTTTAGACATTTGCTTTTGTAGTTCCACACAGTGTCACGTCTGATATGCGCCTCCTGACGGGTGAAATTGTTGTGTTATTTCACGTCCTCTCTGATGTTGACACAGAAACCTTTTACTCCATTTCATGTCTTGGGACTTGCACCTCTCAGAGGGGGGAAAAAAACACCTTATCCTTCCATCAATGTCACACTCCGACAACTCAAGACAGAGTAAAAATATTTGCATCTATTTCAACTATCATCCCTCAAGACCACATTCCCAGGGCGTGTTCGCTTTTCGTAAAACAGAGCTATTGCTTTACACTTTAACCCAGGGTAAAGGTTGTTACTTCTCCTTAATCACTGCCTAATCATTCTTCGTCTCTCCTCATGCTTCTACTCGGTGTTTACTGGCAAACAGGTGAAAAAGAAGCTGGAGGCTTTTCAAAGGAAAGCCGCGTCTTGCCTGACAATGCGGCCCACCGCAACTGTCAGGGAAATATGTCTCCAGAGTTGCTGATTAATTTACTAATGAAAATATTTGCTTGAATTACACCTAAAATTGACACAGAGGCTGAATATACAAGATGTGGAGCAAGCGCCAACAGGTAAGATTAAAAAGGGCAAACCGCATGTCATATTCAGCCATGTGATACCGTGGTGTTTCCTGAGAGGACAGGGGCAACGGCGGCTTCTTGATCCATCTCGTGCTAACGGGCTTGTCATTGCAGTAAATATTCTAATTTCATCAACAATGATTTAAGTCTCCTTTATGTGCGCTCTATTTACGATGTGCCTTTAACATGCCTGAAAGGACTTGTCTAGCATTACACATACAGCATTCACACAGCTCAGAGCAGCAAGCAGGAATATATAATTATGCCATCTCCCCCCGCCCTATCCCTGTAAACCTGAGATGGCGGAGGAAGAGCCCTGATTACATACTACAGACTTTCTCTCTTGTATTCAGATGCCTTGTAAGAGGATAAACGAATGAAAGCAACGCATGATTGTTAGGGACGGCTTGAGCGCTAATTTCTGTCTTTAGAAAGGTATGGCAGGTATGTTTTGTGCTCTGTAAGCATTCACAACAAACTCCTGCCTTTATTGAAAGGACGGGAACCATGTGGCACCTCTTACCTTTTTCGAGCCTTGCTCCTCTTCCACCCCATCTCCGACAACAATGTAAACAACTTTCCTCCCGAACCGCTGAATTACTCTCTCAAAGCAGCTCTCCTTCCCTGTGGGGGAGTCGGGGGAAGGATGTTAGTGCGTGCACAGAGTTGCAAAACACTAAATACCAAAATGACTCAGGAACACAGGGTGACAGAACTCCTTTAAAACACAACTCTCACAAAATAGTGCATAGTGTAAACACTGACTTAAGGAAAGAGATGAGATAAGATCAGCCCTCAGATAAAGGCTAACTTAAAAGCATCAGCGCTGCCCCTCTCCACTGAAAACCTGGGACTAATGGACAAATCACTCCTGCATGTTACAGGGTCCGCTGTGTTCTGTTCAGACTGCACTGTCGGGCCTAAAAATGTTGCAACAGCGAAGCTTGATGTTTATTTTGCATTTGAAACAGTGGAAAGGGGGAAGGAAAGTAGGGATATGTGAGGAGGAGGAGGGGGTCCTCCTGCTCTGGAATGACATAAATGTGCAGAAGTGGTTTCATATGCAGAGATGGAGGAGCAGAGGCCGGGAGAGGCCCTGCACAGACCCAGCTCCAAGAAAATAATCCCAGGCTGATTAGGACTATTCCCTTACAGAGGAACATCAACCATCTCTGGTGACAAAATCTCCCACCACGTCCACGCCTCAGTCCTGTCATATAGGTAGCATATGTGTCCTAACTGTTTACACTAATCATATTAAAATAAGTGAGCTTTTCTTAAGCATGGAGGGCCAGAGGAGGCAGAAACTAATCACAAATTTCAGCTATGACATAAAAAGCAGCGTATACCTATTTTGGTTGCACTATAAATATTCTCGATAGGAAAGACGATTCCTAAGCCGTAGAGCAGGACCTTAGCCAGGGCAGGGATGAGCTGTGTGGTGGTCACCAGGATATTCACACAATTTGACCTGAGGAGGAGAGCAAAACGGTGACATCACTCTAAATCACTCTGCGGGAGGACAAAAGAAAACACAATGTGCAGAATATAAAAGACACAGCAATGTATCAATTCCCTAAAACATGTCCACCGGAGAAGGATTGGCTCTTTTTTCCTAAGTCAGATCTTTTAGCAGACTTATTTGTCAAAATTAGGAGAGACAAGCTGTTTGAAAGACAAATCCACAGCATTGTTTCTCTTTTTATAGCTGGGAATGGAGTCGACTTGTTTACGCCACATATAAGATTATATATGTGCGGTGTGGGAATGGGTACAATTTTCCTCACTGTAGTCCTACCTTGAGTGGATTAATGTTAGTGCTTTCAGTGCCAGTGTTAACCAGGAGTCCGTCAAGGCTTCAATTTCTGCTCGCAATTGCAACCAGGCTTCCCTTTTGGCTGGGCCCAGCAGACCTGAAACGCAGGGTAACATTGTTTGGGTTGGACCAGCCATCCGAATACCACTGAAATTTTCAAAATTTGCCCCTGCTTTTAGACACACACGCATCTGAATGCACACAGGCACTCCCACAAACGCCCACACAATGAGGGCACACACATGTGTGAACCCAGTCCTACTCAGTGGATCTGTGCGCAGCGGCTCTGCTTGTCAGGGATTACCTCCAACGTTATTTTTGTAGGTGGTGTAGATTTCTTTTACTCGTCTGTAGCGGAAAGCTAGTTTTCTCATCCAGTCCACACCTCCCCGCACGCCGGTGGCCAGACACAGGTTGGCACTGGTCGCTGCAGCGTGGAAACCATCAGCACTGAAGTTATATGTACTGAAATAAAAAAAGAGATATGATCTATTAGCACAAGCTGCTATGCCACTTAGATTATTTTTGGGCATCTCATGTGAGGCAGGGCTGCACCTTAGATCCTGGCCGTTGTCATCAGAGGACACATCGTCGATGTGTACCTGGTCACATTCCTGAAACAAAAAATAAAACAAAAACAAACACATTTAATAACACTCATAAAGAGGTTCATCATTCTCGGGAAAGGATACATTTCTCAGGTTTCAGGAAATACATTTTTTTTCAGGAATGTGGTCTTCATTTTCTTCTATATTTCCTTTCAGATCAACTCTGCTTATATTTCTTGACTATAAAGCTTTACGAGCTCCTCTAAATTGAGTTCATCATCATTCTGAAATGAGATCTGAGAAAAACTCCCCGAATTATTTGAGCAGGTATGTCTGGGTCTGCAGGTAAATACATGTATACAGTAGAGCCACAATCGGGCCTTGTAGTGTAAAACACATTGTCATAACAAGCCTTGGTGCTAATAGTTTGAGCGTGAGTACGTGCATCTCCAATCAAAGGTGAACATTCCTCTTGGAAGCGTAGAGGAATTCTGCAGCTCTGCACTGATTCCACTGTTACACGGTAACACAATCCAGACTTTCTGGTAAATGTAACCTACTAGAAAAATTGAACCTGATGCTAACCGCCAATGAAATTATGACCTCTGATTGCTGCTGCGCCACACACCAACACAGCCCCGGGGCCAGTCAGCCAGCCGGCCGGCCGGGGAGAGAGGGCAGGGGAAAGCGGGCAAAAGAAAAAAAAAATCTGTTATTAGTTTTCCATTTATAGGAGAACTCTACTGCCTTCCCCCTTTCCGCCCTTCTCTCCACCTCATCAGCCAGCTTGAAATGTGAGGGATTCTTGCCTTGGCATTAGAATCTGCAAACTTCACATGTAGCAGAGAAGATGCAGAGTTGTTCAGTTGCATTACTTTTTCTTGAACCATAAGTTTTTGTAGCCTTGTGACAGCAGATTGCGCAATTGTCTTTTTAAGAGCAAACAGTTGTGACATTCAAGCAATGTTAACTTTAAAATTTGTTTCAGTCAGCTGTAATGTGGTGTGAATAACAGAAAGAGTATTTGATAATATGATGATGTAGTTTCTCTTGTAATTTCTCTGGAAAGCTGCAGGTTTCAAACGGTTAAGTGCCAAAAAACGTTAGTCTAACCTGTTTAACGTTATGTGAGAAATAATCATTTCTCATGGAAACTGAAACTTGAGGAAGAGAATTCTTCTGGTTTAGAGTATGAAAAATCCCTTCCAATTTTTTTAGCTTTTTAATTAAGTTTCATCCGGTTGTTAAGACACCCAAACACAGAAAGGGCTTCCTTGTTTTAAGTCAATCTCAGTTAGGCCAAATGCTGACGTTACTGCATTCCTCTCTAATGCTGGAGCAGGGTAAGGGTAAGGGCTTTGGACCGTAAACCTTTTTTATTTTACTGGTTCCCCTCTGAACAAATTTTTCATCTCCCTGGATTTGTGGAGAGAGGGAGGGAAGAGCGACGTGAGCAGAAACTCAAACCAGCTGTTCTTTAACAGAATTAAAATCTTGACCCCCAACCCCAGCTCTAATGCAGCCATTCTCTCGCCAAGCCTCTCCCAGCAAGCCCCAAGATCCAAAGAGGAAAAGACTTTGACCCTGTGACCCCTCTCCCCTCCTCTCCGGGGCTCCAGCACCCCGATAAGGGGGTGGGAGGCTTGAGAGGAATGGGTAAAAGTCTGAGACTCCAAAGTGACCTCACATGGAGCGAGCTCTGAGCGCCACGTTCCAGAAGATGGACTGCCAAATGACATGGAGTGCAGGCGGGTGATCGTTGATCTGTTGGCCAAATCTGTGTCCTTAGACTCTCTCACAGATCTTTCATAATTGATGAAAGTTGCACTTTTTCTCAGCTGGAGGATCTGATGCCAACAAAACTCATGGCTAAGATAAAAACCCACGTACACTTTCCCAAGCACAACCATACCTAAAGGTGTGATTAATTCCTTAAGTAGCGGAGCACGTCTGTTTGTTTAGGAAAACAAAAGCAGCACCTTGGGTTAAGCACCTAATAAAGCTCCTTTCAATGCTCCCCACCCCATTGTGGTGCAAGTGACTGGAATGCTTCTATTATTCAGTAATTACGCGCTGATGAATCAGAAATAATATGCCAAAAACCGGCTCCTGTCACCTCTTTCACTGCATTGGTCCTCGAGCATTCAGCTCCATTCATTTGGTTTAACATCCTAAATTGTATGTTGTCTCCCTGTTCCCTGTTGACAATGGCTCACCGTGTTTGTTCTACCCATGTAATTTGTTTCTTTCAGAATGTGACAGCCAGTGTGGATCAAAACAGATATTTGAGAACAATGTTGTTCGACACATTAATTATGGGTCTACTTAAAGTCTCCCAGCCAAACCGGGTAAAAACTCATACATATGTCACAGCAATTAGTCCTAACTGCAGCCTTTATAGCTGCAGTCTGATTATGAAGGATTTTTCATGGACTAAAAGCCAATAAACACTTCAGACCTCAACAAATGTAAAACATTTAAGACTCAAAAGGCCAAAAGAAATATCAGGGTTTGGGCTTGCAGTCTGAATGCCTGCTCTCTTCCACTTCATTGTTTTCTCTAGCTTTTGTGCAGTTTCAATTACTTAGTGATGCTTAATTAAACGATGAACAGGGTGTGGGACATCCAGATTGAAGTTTGTCTGCGTGTGTATGTGTATGCAGAGGGAATAAAAAGGAAGAGGGCTGTTGGAGGAACCGGCAGACTCCAACAATTACTGTTCCCAGCTGGGGCTGGTATAAACATCTGCACCGGCTCCCTGGGAGGACTGGGAAAGCTAATAGAGGAGGTGGCTGTGGGTAATGTCGTACAGTAACCCTTACACGTACTCATTAGGAGCCACTTCTGAGGGGCTCGTAAACACCACAGAGCCATGAACGGTACGGGTCATAGTGAAGAGAATGGAAAGAAATGCTATTAGGTGGTGAATTTTACTGTTCCATCATTTGGAATTCGACAAATAAACACCTGCAAGGTGAACCGCAGGTAAAGATTAAATAGTAAAAGACATGAAAGCATGTTCAGAGATGCCTCATGATGATGGAGTTTGTGCACTTGGGGTTAATGTAACACTTCAAAGAAAAAAATGAACTGCTGTAATAATTTGTTTGTATATCTTTGACAACAGACTGAGGGCACTTCGTGATTGTGACACATCGAAGGGCAGTCTGAGAATTTCCTCAAACCTTTTGAACATCTCTTTTTCACTGAATCCTCCCAGTCTCCCCTCACCAAGCAAACAGTGGTCTCTCTAAAACCTACAATCACTGCTAACTCACACCAGATGTTCCTACTGTACTAAAGAGTGAAGACCCTCCATCAGAAACCAACGCAATTACTCCTCGTGCAAACAGTGTGTATTCCTGTTAAATTCATTAGCAACATTCTTGTGAGCTCACTTGGCTTCCAAGCTGTCTTTATTTGTATGTAAAAGGGAGAAGCACTGAAAAATGCTCGGGAACACAGGAGAGAATGCCTTTGCCCTGGGATTCTTCCATCTCTGCATCATTCCCTCTCTCTTCCTTTTTCTGTCTTTGTCTTTCCCCTGATGTGTTGAAAACCTTTCACTGGGGAGGAAGTTATCAGAGCCCTCTTTGTTCCCTCGGCATCTGTCATTAGGCAATCAGTGATGACGGCCTGAGTCTTCCTGTAGCCCTGGAAAGAGCTCAGAGTGGTGACTGCAACAGTCAGAGGCAGAGAGAGGAAGGAAGGGGCAACTCTGTAAAGCACGCATGTTGCCAAAACAAGGTCTAGGTCACTAGACTGTCCACTTTATGGAAACAGGCTGTATTGTACAAGCTGAATACAAGCCTCCCTCTCTCATCTGTTTCAGGTGAGCTGTGTGATCTGTTGTGGTAGGGGTGGGTGGTCGCAGAGTCAGCGTGAGCGACAACAGCCATCATTGCAAAATTCCTTCTGACCCTACAGGCTAATTCCATGTGAAAAAGGCTCATCCATGGTTCGCAGGTTCTCAATGCTGCCACTCTACCGGCAGAGGCTGTCATCCCCCCACCCCCCCTGGACTGTGACCCCCGGCAACTTCCTTCTCTGTTCCCACCACAGCCACCTCTGTCTGAGGGGGTGCAGAAGGGAGGAGGGGGCTGTGATTATCTGGGGGTCAAACACAGGATGTGGGTAACAAAGGGAGAGTTCTTCAAACCCACTTCATTCTAATCCACAATCTGTGCTTGAACAGTCATGGAATTCAAACAGCGGAGCCAAACAAAGCGCAGGTACAGAGAAGCTGATGCTGGTTTCACACACACACAAAGAGACCAGATTACGAAGAAGGGATACAGAGAGAGCTCTGAAGCACATTTGTATCTCTGTATTAGCAAAGCAGGTCTTTAAAAGTTGGTGAAAAGTGGAGAATATTCCACAGGTAGACAGTGGGGGAAAAAAGCATGAGTTAGATATAATAGATGAGCAGTTGCTCGTTATTTTTGTATTATTGAAGACTCTCATCCAAACCACACCTCGAGGCGAGCGACATTAAGCCGATATCAAATCTCAGTCACTTCAGCATTTTTCCATATGCAATGAACATATCCACAGTGAGACACTTTGTTCCCGCCAAGAAGCCTGTTGTTTAGACCAATTTCTACGAGTTTTTGCTCTCATCCCTCACAAACCATGTTCGACAGGTGCTGAGTCTCTTTTTTTTTAGCAGGACAAGAAATCTATTAATAAACATCATCATTTGTCAACGGGCAGTAATGCTATATTTTCCATGCACCCTCAGCCCTTATTGGCGTATGAAGCGGCTGTGCTGGGATAGTGGTTAGAGGGTGGGGGTGATGTGGAGCTCTGCAGAGAAAAGACTGACAAGTTGGCTTTGAAACCTCCACTCTCTCTGTCTGTAGTCCTTCCAGAACACATCCGTGGCCCCACCTCGAGACTTGACGGACTCGTGTTGAGGAACATGACAGAGCTGCTGCATCGGTTGCCAAACAAATGATGAAATGCCCACACCAGTGTAGGCCCAAAGTAGCCCATCTGACAAAACATAGGATAATGGGGTTGAACCCTGTGTATTCACATCTAAAAAAAGAAACCTGAACTTTTAATCCCTAATTTAGAACCCTCTCAATGATGCTTTTTATGTGTGATTATGCTTGTTTTTCTTTTGAAAAGCGAATGCCACTCTGCATCAGTTCACTTGTAAATGATTGACTGAATGACTTGCTTTCAATGAAAATTAGTTGGCATCAAATTCCTCTTTATCGGGAATAAAATCATGGAAAATAAAACTGGAAATGAAAACATAATAAAGCTACCAGTCCTATGGAATGGCAGGTCCAGGATCTGACTCTTGGCTGTGGGACATTAAACCAACAGAATGGCTCAGAGCTAAGAGGCTCTGGAGAACCATTTCAGCCACTAGCAAAGGTAACCGTGCATTTCACAGCATCTCTCATTAACAGGCAGCCCCTGGGTGAGAGTGACAGAGGGGGTTTCAACCCTGAGACTGCAGGCTGGGAGCCATAAAAGGTGGTAAGCACACAGAGTTACAGAGCTGCTACACAAATATGTGTGTTCGAGTTTTTGGAGGCTTTTGTGAGTATTTGTACGCTATATATGTGTTTGTATCTGAGCCTTTGTAGCTCCACGTGTTTTGAGTGCAAGCACTTGCGTTGCACACAACACGGCGCATCGGAGGACTCATTTAAAATGATCCCACTTTCGAGACCTCTCACCCTCTCACACCCTGTGAGTGGTTTGCCCCCGTGCCCTTCATCCTCCAGACAGGGAGGGATGTTTTCTCATCCAAGGAGGCGGGAGACGGCAGCCCCTGCACCCCACTGAGAAGAGATCACAGGGGGCTCGGACAGCTAGAGAGAGGCCCCCGGTTCCCATACACAGCTCAGCGTTGGAGTCAGGGCAACGGCAACACACCCATAGTAAACTCACACCCTGAGTCACAGCATAGCTGTCAGTCTCCCCATTGAACTCAACCTCCGCGGGCTTCATTACACACACTACTTTCTGCCATCAGTTAACTTCACATGCAACCCCGTGCCACAGTTCAAGCATTAAGTTTGCTTGATTTATGACATTTCAAAATGTGGACAGTAAATTCCCTTTAATAACCAACTCATAAAATGTATAATTCTAGAAACAAAGATTATTTTTCCCTAAAAATATATCTATACCTTCTTAATACCATGGTGACATTAATTGCTTGATTGCTTTAGGTTCAATATTTATATAATCTAGGATATAAAATTTGTTATATAAAATTGTTTATCTGCAGAGCTATTGAAATACAACTTCAATATGGAAAATTAATACAGTGGAGATCACATCACTAAGGATCATATTGCTTTGAATTACTTTCCTAATACTTCCTTGGCTGAGAGCATTTTTTTATGATAAAAACAGATTGTGCTGTTCATATAATACTCCATCAATCCTTTAAAGGAATGAGTGGTAAATGGTTTGTGCGGGTCGATCGATATAGATTTGTGCGTGTGCTGTGGAGCTGCAGTATTTCTTGGACCCACCTTGAAAAAAGTGAATGAAAAAGAAAGCACTGATCCAGAAAAAGGTTGGAGGAAAAAGAAGGAGAGGGAGAGAGAAAGACATAAGGGTGAAACTGATCCCTGTTGACCCCTTCGGCATGCCCTCTTTCTTTTTATGACTTTCCCCCGAATCATCACTCACCAGCTCTATCAACACAGTCCAGCTTCTACTCACACACGTACGCACACACACAGCACACGGGCGAAGAGTAGTTCTCCGTTTTTGCCGTTGCAGAATGAGAACGTCATTCTAAAAAGTCATATTTCGTCCTTCTGAAAATCCTTAATGCCTTAGAAAAATTGGACCAACTGGTTTAACTTGGAATTTAATATAGACACTTTGATCAAACTTAATTTTAAAAAGTGTAAGCAAATTTGGAGAGCCTCCATCTGATATTTCATGTGCAGAGGCTGGCTTAATGAAAGTTTTAAGACATGGATGGCGCGCTCACACACTGCTAGGCCACTAACTTTGCACCTGTGTTTCTGTACAGCCTCTTGGGTCTCCCTTTATGGCTTAGACTAAATTAGATCGACCATATGCATTTCTGCACATGCTTAAATACATAACTGCTGCTGGCTGTGGTATTTATAGTGGGACTCTATTTAGCTCTATCTGAGATGGAGGACTGTAAATCAGCACAGAGGAAACACAACTGGTTAGGCATTGCTGAGAACTGGCACTTAACACTCAGACTGGCCAGGCTTAGTTTAAGAGGGGAGATCCCTATGCCTTCAAGAGAATGTCACTTTTTCCCAGGTATGATTCTTAAGACAACCGTTTCAACGTCAGCGGAGGGAACTTTACACTGGACATCCTAAAAAGCGTTTTTCAAACAGGCCACGGCTAGCTACCTCAGTTGTGGTAGTTTAAGCTGGGAAAAAAAATCTAAATCATTTTAGTGTCAAAACAAGACCAAATAATTCTGTTGCTGAGATAGAGCAGAAGAAACAGACGTGCAGGGTTTTCAAATAATTTTATAAGTAGTCTGAGATGCCAATTCATCTGTGAACAGTTTCATCACACATGAAAAGAAATCAAAACACACGGCAGATGTTGAGCGAAACCACATTTAAGAGTTGTCACAAGCTGCCATTTTTTTCAAGTGATTGGGGCACGTTTATTAAATAAAGTGCAGCTAGAATGGATTCTACATGGTCACGGCATAAGGGAATATTTAACCAGCCAATTGCAGCCAATTAACTTTGATCATGATGACTGGGTTTGGAATCTCAGTCACTCTTCTGTCTGGGGTAGAATGAACTTTTTCTTTCTCTCTCTCGGTCTTGTGTTTTCTGCCTCCTTTTTGGGTTTTCTCCATGTTACACGGCCGAGCACGGCAGTGAGTAATGAGACTTGGCAGACTGGCCACAGATCTCTTCACACTTAAGTATCAAAGAAAACATTTCCTCTCCTCTGAGGTCAGCACAAACCAGGACACTGAGAAAAGTGGATGGTCAGTGGGATCAGATTAACCATAAAAAAGAGGCCGAGAGGAGGAGGTGTGGAAAAAACTGAAGAACACTAATGAATAATAAACATTTCCCAAAATCAAAGCAAAGAACAGGATAGTGTGAGAGAATACACGTTGCTTTATTACTAAATCTGATGTTAAGTGTGACGTCTTTATTTAAACTGAAGTGGCTTTCTGTGGCTGAGCATGTGTGTATGAACAAATGTGACAAATACTGTAAGGCAAAATGCATCCTCACTCTCTGGTCTTTGTTTTATCCGTACCTCAGGAGGAGCAGATGACACAACACACACAAACCTCCCTGAAATGATCTGCCTACTTCTCTGCCCCTAGGGAAGATTTTACACTATCTGTACATGACAAGGGGAGGCTGGGGGTGGGGTGTTGGGGGGGCACAGTAGCATGATAGAAACAGAGGAGGATTTCATGCTATGACGGAGGGGTCTGTGGTGTAGGTGGACAGCGACACCAAGCACACAGCATGACACACAGTCAGACAGAGCAGCCACAGAAACACTAGAGCCTGACAAATTGCGCTAGCTGCCATGGAAGTGGGAAGGAGGTGGGGGCAGGCCTGGTGACCCAGGAGGCTGACAGCACATGTTAAATTCATGGTATCCCTTGGGCTCTGAGGTAATTCTTCACTAGTGGGATGGATAACTGAAAGACAGACCCCACGCTATTCAGCAGTTGTTGCTGCTTTGACTAAAATCTCCAGTTCCTGTTTGAATATTTATACAATTTTATGGCCCCTGAAATCATCACAATATAAACAGAAGCCTCTTATGCAGAGTCGAACAACAGCACATAAATGCACTCACCTCTAAGTCGTTAAAGAATAAGTGTGTGTCGGCCAAGTTGAAGATCATTTCCTCCATCCTTAGGCCTAACGATACAGATGTTGGTGGGTCCTGAAAAATAACAAAAACATCGAAAGTAAACAAAAATGCTCTTCTTATTATAAACTAGAGAAGCCTCTACAGTGTTTCTTCAATGTACTACATTGAGCAGAGATTGCAATACAGTAAGAAATAATATTCACTGTGAGTCACTTAATTAACACAGAATCCTTTTAAGTTCCACGGCAAACTCTTCCCATAAAAAGAAAACCCCAGGCAGACTTGAAAGTTTCGGCCTCTGTTTACGACCTTCTGAAAGGGACCAGAATAGTCATCAGTAATGCCACAGACTTCAGTGAATGCAGTAAAAGCATGTCTCTTCTTAGAAGGGGTGGTCGGTTTAGAAGAGCTGGGGTCACAGCCTCATCGTAAATAGCCAATTCTCCACATACTCCTGCGGATGCATCATTTGATTGTTCTTTAGGTGACTAAACACCATTTCTCCAGACGTTTCTTTGGATACATGCCAATCCAACGGTTCATTAGCAGAATTGAAAAAGCATCCAAAATTAAATGAACAAAAAACTATCTATGCACTCACAGAGCCTTTCAACAGGGGCAGCAGCAATTTTCCCTTAAATCATGATCTCTGTAGGTAATGTGATACGTGCTGTAATGGTGATATGGATACACTGTCGGCAAGATAACACCTCGAATGGAGTCATCTACGCTCTAAATAGTTAATGAGACAGCGACATTGTGTGCCATTTTCCCTTTAAAAAGATAATGAACAAGCAAAAAGACTTAAGATGAGACAAGCATTTTGCAAATGTGCTATGTGTTTAAAAAAATCAACTATCTCTCATCAAAAAGGCTCTTTAACAGTATTAAGATGGTGTTTTGATATAACATTCCGTAATACTGAGATTTTAATTTTGTTGTACAAATGATTTTTTGTGTGCGTGTGTTTACTCAATTGTTTTTCTCCTATGTCCCTAATCTCTAATTAGCTAATTGTTTTCAGCAAGTAATGGATGAAGGTAAACAATAGCCGTCTGTGCAGGAGGTTTCCCTGCAGCTGGGTGAGATCTGCATTTAAGTCAGGCCACGCAGGACCAGAAGCAGGGATTACAGAGTTAAACCACCTAAAGACACACCTGAGCTTTCCGCTGATTAGCTGTCACACCCCACAATGCTTATGTTTTCACTAAAACGACAGAACACAAACCACACAAGCAGAGCCCAGTCACCCAGTTCTCAGGGTTTTCTCCTCTTCCTCTTAACCTCCCAGTCTGAATCAATCTTTCAGTAAGAATTCATCGAAAACAATTAGCCGCCTACATCCCTGGGCTACCATCTCCTTCTTCCCAACCTCAGACTCTGCTGGCTGAATTAGCGTTACGGACTGGTTCGGTGGGAAAAGGCAGTTCACTCCCGCGCGAGTGAATCCCTTCCAATTAAATCTAAACAATCAGTCAGTGAGGGAGTTAAGAATACAAGCAGGCCAGAAGGCCAAAGTGCTGCTGCTGTCATTGCTCCAGCACCACCTGTCCTGGGATGTCAGGGGGGGGGGGGGGGGGGGGACTGTCCACCCTCCTTCCTCTGAGTCTCTTTGCAATAACACCCCCACCACACACATATCCCCACTTACTTTAAGCTCCAGCTCTAGTCAGCCCAATAGCAGCACAGCTGGCCTCAGCCATCAGCTTTATGGGGGTGAGCTGCCTTGATGCCAATTAAAAAAGGGCTGATAAGAACAGCAGTGTGTTTATGTGTGTATGCAGGAGTTAAAAAAAAAAAGAGTAGGTAGGAGGTCACAGCGAGTGAGAGAAAGTGAGGATGTGCTCTCACTCAGATTCACATCTATTTATGGTAAGTTAAGAGCACCGAGAAGGGAGACCTGTTTTGCAACGTTTTTGTTTATGCCACAATGATCACTAAATGAATGACAGACAGGAGGGAGGAGAAAAAAAGAATGGTTGTTGCAGTAGATGGATGGTGGGAGGGGGGCAAATGTTGGTCTGATTCACTTTCTTTCCTGAGTTAGTTTACAGATCAGTATACTTGATAGGCTTTGATGTTGTGTGCTCTTTGGCTGCTGTGAGGAAGTCTTCCTTCTTTTTATAATAATGCTTTAATGTGATCATGTCAGCAGGTTGGAGCATGACAGAGAAAGAAACATTGCAGAGAAGTTAACTAAAATGTGCAGATCAGCAGAAAAATGGGAAACAAAAGAGAAAACAGAGAACGAGAGGGACTCCAGTGGCTGTCACATCCTAAATGAGCTCTGATGGAACAGGCCTTTATGGAGTCATGAGTGTTTCCTGTTTCAGAGGAGCACACTGAAGAACCCTATAAGAGACGGTGCCTACGTACACATGTGTGCATGCATGGTATGAGAGCCCCTCATCACTGAGCCACAGTTCTCAAAGCCGTAAGTTCTCTTTACCCAGCATGGAGGGCTGAGAATAAAGTAAATAAACAGTTGAGGGTCGTGGGGCAGCCCTCCTTCACCCCAGAAACAAAACACTGCCCCCATCAAACACCCCCTCATGCTAGAACAAAGGCAAAGAGCATGGGCCACGGGCGCTAAGCTCCTTGACATATGAGGAGTAATATGCCATTTTTTTACTTCAGAACTTAATAAATCCATAGCCTAAACAATTGTTCATTAAAGAGCGTCAAAGACAAAATACAAATCATACAATTCATTTTCTACATGTTCTCCAACTACATGTAAAAAGAAGAGGGACCTATCCGGTTTGAAGGGCATACTGAGCGATTGTTTTAAAGAAACCATGAGAATACTATTCGGTCTTATTTCCCAAATTGTTTGTTGAGAAAGTTTAAATTTAGAGAAGCAATTTACATGAAACAACAAATAAAAAAGCCTGGAAAAGTAAACTTTTCATCTTTAGACCATTCTCAGTAACATGGGACAGAAAATGGCCCCCTACTAAAATAACAAATACATTTATTAAGATTTATATATATACATATGTATATGTATCTTAATTCCAATCCTAACCAAGCACAGTTTAGGAGGAATCTTTGTGTTCAAGTTTCTTTGAATCACATTTGTTGGAATCAGCCTCTTTGGGGGTCTCCTGGGAAATCCCTGTCTGAAAGGGATGGATTGAGAAGCACTTAATTAAACTAACAATGTGGCATTTCTGAAGGAGAAAGGAACACTCAAGATGTGTCAGTAGACAGCCAGAATGCAACTGTTGTGAGCCCCTGCAGCCGAGCCCCGAGCAGCAATGCATAGCTCCAACAGCTGCAAGGAGCAGTCAAATACTTGCCAGGCCTCATTGGACCTATTAAAAAAAGAAACAATTATCTGTACATCGAGTTCTGCCCTGTCCTCTCACTATGGACTTAGAGCAAAGTGAAATCTATCCCTCTGCTCAATGGCCATTACCCCATACAGATCCTCATTCTCTCTTTTTAATATTTATGCATTTTTGCCGATAAAGTGTACTGCTACTGCCACAGTCTGATGTCACTCACCCGTCCATATCTGTTGGCATATGAACCCGTAAGCAAGGAATGGAAAACGATGATTGTTTCATCCAAGTCCCAGATGAAAACTCGCTGAAGAGATGTGTGTAGAAGGGTGGGGGAACAGAAACAAAGAAAAACAGAGAGAAAAAAGCTAAATCAATGGTGCACTCTGTAGGGCTGCAAGGTGATCCTCCTGGTCAATAGGCCAGGAGCGTGTATTTGCGTGCCACAGGGACTGGGATCCATTTGCTTGGGTTGGTCACCGCAACACTTCTCTCATCACCCCACTACACACATTCCACCCCATGCCCTTTACATTAGAGTAATCAATAGTGACAAACTAATTAACTAGATATGTTAACATGCCATGATGTCAGCGCTATAATAGCTGCTATTATCTTCGCTCAGATTAATACCATCTTAATAAAGAGCCCTTGAAATTATGAGGTGTTTATTTTGACATACGGTCACTAATCAGCGTGAGTGAAAGAATCATTACTGCCAGATAGCGAGCGGCTTTCAAGCACTCAAATATATTTAATTCACCTCTGTGGTGGGCCATTTACTTACACATGCCTTATTGTTTATTTACAAGTTTTACAAGAGAATGCTATATATGATATGTGTTACTGATGAGTCATATGTTCCACAAAGCATCAATAATGCATTCATCGTAAAGGAATCAAGCTTTAAAGAATTAATGCCAAGCGTTCAAGTTTGTGTGGCAGCCATATAGTAAGTGGATTAGTGTTCGTGGGCCTCAGACAGGGCGAGGCTGTCTGTCGCCAAGGTAGCGGGCTCACCCTACCTCAAGGTCAGAGTCGGGCGGCGGTGATGGGTTGTTGTTCCTTCTTCCACGGCCACGTGACTTTCCATCCGAGGCTCGGCGCAATCGATCTGAATCTGAATCTTTAATGGGGGTTGATGGACTGTGGATGGTACTGTACTCTCCTGAAAGGAAGGAAAGAGGGAGGAAGGGGAGTATGAAAAGAGTGTATCGAAGATGAGCTATTATTTGCTTTTAGGAAAGATGTCTGATTGACCATTTGTCTTGATGCAGGACAGGCAGCATCCTGCATGAGACATTATTCAGAGGCAGATTATTTAGGACTGCAGATAACAAATATATCATAAATCAGCTGCAGAACAGCAAAGCTTTTGTGCTCTGCGCTGATTTAATAAACAAGAGGTAACTGAGCGCATGCCAACAAGGCATTACAGAGATGTCATTTCTGTAAACTGGATGACAGTATGAAATTATATTAAATTAAAGCTGGCTGTCTTTGGTGTTGTTTGATGACATTTTCCAATGCAGACAAAAAATTCTGAGTGACTTAGAAAGATACAATCTCAATTGCCAGATCATGCGTTAATGCCACATGAAATTATGGAAAATTCTACATCTGATTTCAGTTTAGACTGTTTTTCTTGCTCGCCACACTGCAGTTCAATAGATATTATGGCTGAAACTTTCTCCTACTTAAACTGTGCAAATAAAAATATGTGAAAGAAGGAGGAGAGTGTAGCTTTAACAATGATGAAACTGCCGATCTTCAGCTCACATGAGGACATCTGTGGTGGGATTTTTTACCTGCAGGGTTGTCTGTGAGGGCTTGGCTGGTGATGACAGCAGGTGGCTCTTGGAGGGTGTAGGTGGTGGTGGTGGAAGGCGTGCTGGGGCTGGTGTTGTTACTTGTCATGTAGGGTGAAGTGTAGGGTGAACTGTTGTAATACTGAGCATACTGGGTCTGGCCAAAGCCTGGATAACTGGGGTAGTCCTGTGGAGAAAGACAAAGTATGGTAATTGGAATAAGGTAGGTTACATCTGGATTAAGATAAGGCAAATGTGAGAGGGGAGATTTTGATCAAAAAGGCGGATCCCAAATGAGACAAGTGGGTGGTTTGGCAGAGTAATCTGAGATATGCCCTGCACCAGCGCTGCTACTTTACAGTACAGATTCCAAAAAGTAAACGCAAACACATGTCTGTTCTGTCCTACATCTGGACAACGACTGGCTTCTCTCTTTCTTACTTTCCGTCATGGCATACTACAGATGTGTTCAAGGATGTACAATAGATAATCCTGTGTACAAAGCTTTTGACATCCTGACTGACTTATGTTCGATGTGTCTGAGATGAAATATAACATAGAGAGTGTGCATGTTTTATGAGGATTTCCAGGTTCAGAGCCTGCCATACAAATCTAAACCAAGAGCTAATAGCTGTATACTGACAACAGATGAGAGACACGAACTGATAAGGAAGAAGTGCACAGATACCTGTTGAGTGCTATTAAAGCCAGTAGAGTTTGTCAGGGAGTTGTTTCCTGTGTACAGTCCTGACGTTGTTGTGAAAGTACCACCTATGGGGACAAAAATACATTTACTCACACACAAGGTTAAATTCAAAGAAAAAAAATTCAGCAGTAAAAAACAAAGCAAAATTGAGGGAAGCGAACAGAGCCAGGCCCCAGGGAAAGCTCCTAACAGTGGCCTTATCTTTTTCTCCTCTTCCTTCCTTATCAGTGATTGGATCATACCTGATGAATGACGGGGTGGAGGAGGTGGATTGGGTTGGGGGGGGGGGCTGCTGCCAAACCCGCACAATGCGAGGAACACAGGACTGTTGTGTGTGAGCTACTGAAGGATAGCGTGGGGTGAAGGGGGGGGTGGGAACGGTGAATGCAGTGACTCGGAGCATGAGGGTTCTGGAGAAGGGGGGGCTGTATATAAAGGAGAGATGTATATAAAGAAAGGTTGAGGTCGGAGTGCATAATGCTGGGAGGGTTCGCTGCTGAAATACGGGCTTAATGAATATGCATGTGTCTCTTTTCACTTGCTCAAAGGATGGCCCTCCTGGGTAATTAAATCATTCAAAAGGATTGATAGCATCTAATGGCTTAATAATATACACGGCATGAGTTACAGAGGAGAAGAGGTGCATCAGCCCTCTGGGGCACAACCTCTCTATTCAGCAGCCATTCACCTACGCTGTCATGTCAAACCATAGAACACCAGGAAGTGCAGCTTCAAAAAGGCTAAAAGCATCCATGTACACTGAATTTGAAACCCAAAAATGTCAATTGTTTATCAACCCTATCATATGAAAACTACTCTGCATGAATTAAATAACTATTTGGTATTTTTACTAATTAAACTAGTGTGTCGGTTTTATTTCACACAGACTTTCAAAATATAGTCCCTGGACTCTGTTTCTGTTTTCTGTTCACACTGGCATACATGGGCTTACAGCCTTAAGATATTCTTGATGGGAACTCTATAAACATCTTTTATGATCATGAATGATCCTCCCAATGGGTATCCCACAGCTCCGGCAAAAAGAGGCCGAGGATACATTTATTGTTGTTAAATGAGGCTGTAATTACACTTTTGTTGTCAGAGACAAACACAGGGAGTTCCTTTAATCCTTTGGTCACCAGGGCCCTCCCACACCGTGACAAACATGAAGCAGCTTTCTGAGAGGGGGGATTGATTTGGGAAGTCTGTGTGTGTGGATGGAAGGGCAGTGTGGCAGGGTCATGACAGTTATGAAAGTCAACATAAAAAAGAGAAGACGTGGTGCAGTGGTCGGCCTTGTCAGTTAGTTATATACCCTGCACATTGGTTACAAAATAGAATATCCACGCAGCAGTTTTCATGCATTTCACCCTACCGTCTACCAGCAATTCTCATCAGAACTGCTCTCTCTTTGCTGCTTAGTTCAATGTTTCAAGGCTACCAAACGGATTTATAAAACTTTTATGCCCTGCAGAAAGTTCAACGTCAAGTGAAAGTGCTCTGGAACAATAAGAGAAGACAAGAAGGACTAAGACAGCAAAGGACAACAAATTAGCCTAATGCACAGTTCAAACGGTCATAAAAGCTCTTGCTGGCAGTGTTTGAGGTTGCTCTGTGGAGAACAAGGAGCCACATAAAAGCTGAGGGGACCCCTGCTATCCCAGTGAGAATGAGCCCATGCTGTTTGGAGAGGTGGTGCTGGTTATGGTAGGGGGAGAAAAACAGGGTCTTGTGGTTCCCCAGGGGGCATGTTTTCTCTCCCTCCCCCTGTCCTGCTCCAGTTAGTTCACTCACTCAGGACCAGACATCATCCCTCCCTCCTCTCCTTCCCTTCTGCCTTCTGGCTCCACAATTGGAAGTCCATTTGCTTTGCTTGATCAGTCCCTTTGCCACGGGCTATGTCTATCATCAGTGCACAATATTTGTAGCAGAAGTTTGTATGCCCCACTTGGGAATAAGCTATCAAGTCCAGATGGGGCTCTTATTTGAAAAAAAAAAAAAGAAGCAGAAAAAAGGCCAACGGAGGCTTTAGCTTCTTCAGATTGTAATGCCATTGGGACAGAATGCTGGAATCCAATTATTCACCTAATTAGCATCTGCTCAGTCCCACCATCAGCGTAAAGTCTTTGGTCTCCCTGTATACATATTTTATTTTAACTTCTTTCAGACGATCAGTGAGTTACTTTGCATAAAAAATCAGAGCAGTTTGCCAAGAATACCATTGTCCCCATCAGAGTTAAGTGCCACTACTTCAGTACCCATTAGAAACTCCATTGGATCAGACATGAAAGCAGTGAGAAAAAACATTAATTTAATCGTCCCCTGTCTGACAGCTGGCCACAGGCTGGCTGGTTGCAGGGACACTGACACAGAGGGGAATATCAGATGTGGAAAAAGTGTCTTTGGTTGGGACACCCAGGCCTGAGGCACATCGCCCAGGCAGATCAATAGGCCAGAAGGAATAATGATGATGATGTGGCGGAAGGCCAGAGCCACAGTTAGAGAACCCTGAGCCAGAAAAGTGGTCAATCTGTCATCTAACATGGCTGTCAATTACTAATGCACTTAACACTAACATGAGGCATGCAACAGCCAAAGATAGCAGGAGGGAGTGATGGACAAACAGAGACAGGCAGAAAGAAAGAAAATACAGAGGAAGAACATGATGCTTTGATGCTTAGAAGATAAATGTGTGCATAATACTGTCATTATGAATTAAATCACTAAAGGATGGATAGAAGCTGGAGCGTCCCCCTCCATCTCCCTGCCTGTCCGTTTTCAGGTGCTCTGGTGCGTGCTGCAAAACTCTGACTGTGGCCGACTGTATTTGGTTAAGAGGCGTGGAAAAGAGGCTTCCCCAAGCAACAGCTGAACTGGCGTTATTTATTGTGAAATACTCAGGAGGCTTTTCAGCAACATGTGGAGATATTTCAACTGTCACACTTTAGATGTTAGAGAGAGCACAAAGACAGAGCTGAACGCTAGTTCACTCCTCCTATGCAGTGCACGTGAAGACGGAGGTTTGCTAAACAAACTAAGTCTGTGCAGAGAATCAGTAACAGAAACAAAACATTTCTGCATTAGGTTGATCTACATTTAAACTGAGTGCAAGGGTGGGAGTAAAGCAGGGTGCAACAAGTCATCTTTATTGGTTTCAAGGCCATAAATCTCAATGGTCTCAGCGCTTAAACAAATACAAATATGATCACAGGGAGAAAAAAAACAAAGGCTGGGGAGCGACATGGCTGGTGCCTCCTAAGTGCCTGCCATTTTTCCATCTGTGTTGATTCTTTTGAGAGGGGTAGAGAGGAAGGCAGTCGCGGCTGCGCATAAAACCATAGGGATGCAAACACTGTCTGGGGTGAGGATGAGGGCTGCGTCTTGATTAACCGTATGCTATCAAAAAGCAACATTCCTTTAATCCCTTTTAAAAACATGACAATAAACCTAATTTGGTCGGTTGCCCAGAGGATTAATATTTTGACATAAACTGAAATAGATATACAGAGACATGATTCAAACAGGGGAAACATGCGAGAGCTACTGGGAAAAAAATAGAACAAGCACCATATTTTAAGATTGCTGGTCAAACTAAAACCTGCTTTGTAGCTTTGTAAACCTACCACAATGTTAACCAGTTTGTCTGCTCCATTTTTACACCATGCAGACCTCAGGCGTCCTCTGAATAAACAGAGGAAAAAATAAAAAGAAATGTAGCAAAGATGTCCTCACCCTGCATCTGGTAACTATATGGGGCCTGTCCCGTTTGTGGCGTGGTGAAGCCAGAGCTGTAGCTCAGGAAGCCCGTCTGTCCCGGCGATTGGGACTGGCTCAGACCCCCCTCCGTCTTTATTCCTGCCCACAATGGACCTAAATCAGTTAGTGACACCAGATCGGTTTGATGCACAGACAACAGTCAACACAGTTTTAAATTACACTGGACACAGCAAAGGGACACCACCTCTGTCTGTTAGCATAACACAATAATAACAGGGGATGAGCAGCGGTTAGCTGAAAACTGATTTCCACTGGCCTCTGTTGTTTAGATACATAATCTATCATTGAGGTTCCTCCATATACTGAGTTGATTGTTTAGTTGCAAAACCACAGGCATGTTTGGACTTTGATTGTTTGATTTAGTGATAACAATAATAGCAACTATGATTATTATCACTTGGGTCACAAGTGAAAAGATGCACAAGTAACAAATAGTTTTGCATGTGACTGCGAGCTACACTGACAACTGGCTGAATAAGCCACGGCGTAGTTTCTGTCCAACAGTAGGTTGCAGCACACAGTTCAAATAAACAGTGTAAATTCCTCCACATATTGCAGAGTTTTCTGGGGTTGAAACCCTACAAAAGCTTTGGACAAATAAAGCCATATTACTCTGAGCTTTCTCTTGCATTGCCAGAGGAAACCAGTAACTGTTTTGAGATATATCTCACTAATCTTTCTGATCTATCTGAACAGCTTCACAAGCAAATTCTTCTTTATTGGACTGCCTGAGAATATACAGGCACTAAACAACAACTCAGCATCTTTGCTGCTCCTGGTTTGCTGCAGGGATTGCGGGAACATGGTTTGCAATATGGAATGTCTTGGTCCTGACCTTGAGCAAGGAACAATATTTATGTCTGATTTTATGCATGCTTGTTATCTGAATGTCACTGACATTATGAACATGCTTACTGTGATAGAATGGTTATCTCTGTGATATGTGTAAATCTTACCATAAGCCGGGATGCCATAGGGCTGGCCAGGCTGGGGGTAGCTAGCATAAGCTGCGGCCTGCTGCATTCCTGTGGTGTACTGCGTCTGTCCATACGCAGCCATGTTTTGGGATGAAGGGGTAGGGAGAATATGTGGATATGTTCTGCTGTTTGAGAAAAGAAACAAAAACAAAAGTGGAATAGGAAGGCACGAAGAAAGAGAAGGAAGGTCAACTCAAAACTCTCACACTGACTTTGCTAACTGACAAATTCCTTCAGATTGTGCTACTTTATTCTCGACGGTCAGCCAAACCATAAGACAGATAACATCACATGCCTCATATACGTCCAGAAAGAACAATAAATGGCGAAGGAAATTTTTGGAAGATAATAATTACAACAGATTTCAGAGGGCACAAGCTGCAGACATTAAGGCAAACAAAGCCAGTCAGAAAGCCCCGATCTAGCAGAAGGATCTAATTAAAGATCCAAATGAAGCTGGATGCTGCTTATTTTTTTATAGAAAAATAAAAGAAACCTTACTTGGAAGGGTAAATCTGTGGAGAGAACTGGTGAGTTTGTCTTGGGCTGAAGCCACTGGTTCCAATAGCTGGGGTGAGTTAAAAAGAAGAGAGGCAAGCACATATTCAAACATTAGGAAATAAGGTAAATATTATCCTTTGCCAAAAGAACTCCTGGATTCCAGGGAAGTGGTAATTACATTGCACTACTCTATTTATTGTGGTAAACTTATTTAAAGTTAAAAACCGGAGAGCAATAATAAAGCAAAAATAATCAGGTAAGAACATAAGGTTTTTCGTCTGACCCACGTATCTGTGACAATTCTGGGCTGCCATGACAACTGCTGGTGTAAACACACACAGGATGGTCTGAATCTCAGCCAGTGGCTTCAAGCCACAAACACACTGGTCACGAAAACCCTGACTGAAGGCAGAATTCAGTCATTAAGAATATAAAACTTCACAAAACTTTTAACTACACAAGCTGTAATTCTTTTTAAAATTGTATTAAAAAAGTTTCAATATATTAATCAATTAATTATCCATCACCAACAGATTATAACAAAAAAAACAACATGAGGTCTTTATTGCATTCATGATAAATATTAAACTCAAATAATTTACAAACAAAAGATAATAAACGGCTGCATAAATTAGAATATTCTCAATCTGGCAAAAACATCAATTTAATCAAATTTCTAGTTAGCTACAAAAAAAAAAAAAGATAAGCAGCAATCCGAGTTTTTATTTTGAACTGCAGCAGAGTGGCACAGTTTTGAAACATCTGTCTAATTGGCTGTGACATGTAAAATGAGGGATTTGGTTGCGGGGGAGTGCTAACTGTATGAAACAGTATGCTGTAACCCCTCACACACGTTATTAATACTGAACACTTTTCCCACATCAGCAGCACCTGCCACTGGACAAAACCTTTGTTCTGCATAGAGCTTTGGGTTTCCCCATGGAGGATATGGGGTATAGGATTACTAAATTTCATTAATATTGTCAGAGACAAAAGTCGTACAGTGATTTATGCGTTTCTAGTGTTAAGTATCAAGTACTTAGTTAAACAGTTGAGGAAATACAGGAAAATTAGCAGCAAGTTAATAGCATGCACAGTTGGATGTGCCTCTCTTAATAATTGTTTCTAAAAAAATGGAACATACGGCTGCGGGTTGATGTGGATTTCATGGAGACGGCGGAAAAAAATAAAAATGCCGAAAAATGATCACATTAGGGATTTTATGTATTACACTTCTTGCAATGCTTATCATACCCTGAGGCCTCAGCTTTTAATAATCTGCGTTAGGTATGTGTGTTTTTGATCTTTAGACAGCTGAGAAGAAGGTGTGAAAACCCTGGTTTTGACAGGGTGATAGGGTAACAGCCCGTGGAGAGAGAGGCCACCGGGACGCCATGTCACTCCACTGGGCAGACAGGCCCAGAGCCTTACAGGTCATAATTCAGCCCTCACTGACATGGGAACCGGCACAATGAGTGCGCACACATACACACACAAACAGAAGCGAGCAAGCGCAGCACATAAATATGCTGACAAAGTTAAGGCACGCAGGTTATATTGCTGTTTAAGGTGCTGAGACACTTCCAGAGGTCAGGTTTATCAGTCAACCATCTCGAGGCTCATCTTATCATCCGTGTGTGTCTGTGTGTGTTTGTGTGTGTCTGTGTGTGTTTGTGTCAGTGTGGGAAGCAGCACGACACATGAGTGGACAAAGCAGGCCGGCCTTTTCCACTCACCTGATCCTGAGAAGCCGTCTAAAGCGGAGTCTGCTACCGAGGAGGCGATGTCGCTGCTGCTCATTGGCTCAGTTTTAACTACAAAAAAGGAAACCAGAGTGTCACAAAACAAACATAAGGGAAAAAAACATAAGAATAGACTCACTTTATGATAGCTATATCAGTTTTCTAGGAATTCCCAAAATAGGGGGGGGGGAAAGAACAGACTCAACTCATGTAAATGTGTTGTAAAATGACACATTTCATTTTGTTTTTGTACTCTTCGTCAACATAAATCTAATTATATCCAGTGCTTTTCAAAGGGAATAATTCAGCTCGGAGCTTTGTGGGCCCAAAAAACTACTCATGAATTAGACTAATCTTTCAACTTAACTTCACTAGGACATAGACCAAAACCAAAACTCTCCTAAGATGTGTTTGAAAGACCTTGGCTGAGACGTGCAAGTGCAATTGAAATGTCAAGGAAATATATGGCGGATAAAATCTTTTTAAGAGTGTAGCGAACGCTGTTTGACCTTGAATCCATTATACAGCCCAGCAGTAGATTTTGAAGACAATTTCACAGCTTTCTGACAGCTAAGGAATCTTTTAAATCAATCCATTCAACTTCAGACAGGCCGAGAGAATTTTTTTCCCCCGTCTTCCTTTCTTTTTTAGCAAAACAAATTGACAATGTGGGCAAAGGAGTCATGCTCAGTGGAGTCCCTCATGGTTGAGGGAGCCATTTTCTGTCATGTTTTACATGTTTCCTCTGTGCTCGCACAATGCAGAAACACATGTTGATTACTTTTTAACACACTGATAATAATGTAGTGGTAAAGTGCATGCATAAACTAGCACATTCTCAGGTCACATGGCACACAATAACCACTGTATGCAGGAAACAGCATGGAACGCCTTAAAGACAACAAAATGCTCAGAATGCAAATCCACAATCTGACTTGTCAACAATGGTGAACTCAGGGCCAGTCAGTGTCAAAACATGCTTGAAACAAAATACCACAAAAAAAAAAAAAATGCCAAAGAGTCTCTTAATGAAAGGCACAATAGTTGAGGCAGTTTTGGAATGTCGCAGCTGATAAACTATGGATTTCTGAGCAAAAGGTTTGAGGAACAATAATTACTTTTTAAAGTAAAATAGCTGGTTTGAAGACAGTGAGACAGTCAACTGCAAAGAATACTTTAATTTAAGTTGTGAAAAAACACCAAGTATTGTCCTTTCATCGTGTCACTAGAAGTAGACAAACCTGCAGTGGACTGTGAGTTAGAACCTAACAACCAGTCTGCAGTGGTAAGCATTGTGATGTTATCACCTATGGGAAAGAAAGATGGCAAAGGGACACATGACAGTCTGCATCATGACTACGGGCCCTGTGTGGTGAGCCCTGAGGAAAAGAAACCTTGAGCTCCAGGCAAAGATGAACATGAAGATTACATGACAAAGGGTGATTTTAATAACTTGCTGGTTTGTGACATGAGCACGACTGCTTCACTAAACAAAGGCTCAGATTTAAAGCATAGGCGAATCACCTGAGTAAATAACTATGTACAGTAGAGACCGCATGCAAAGCTCAGTCATTTCCATGCTGTGGGCTTTGAATAATTACATGGCTGCTTAAATAAACAGCTAATAGTCACTGGAGCAACTGCTGCAGATACTGAATTGTATAAGATACAAATATTTTGAATTTAAATCAAATCTAAAGCTCAAAATAATTAACAGAACAAACAATAAAACATTGAGAATATTCTCACTCTTTTTGGCTGCTATAATACATAAATTAAAAAATACTGTAAGGGACCTTAAAAACTATTTTGTACGATCAGATTTGTAAAACTAGTATTTCACATTTTCAGACCCCTAACCTACCTTCAGTGCCATTGGGTGTCATGGAATTGTTAGTGATATGCGAGTTGTCGAGGTTGGGACCATTAGGTGATTCGCTGCTTCCACTTACTCGGCTGTGAGGACTGGCAAGATCCTGCATTTCCATAGACCTGACAGGACACACACACACGGCAAATCAAATTACACATTTCAATCTGGTTTCAGGGAAGGCACAGGGCCCCGACAGACGCGCTTTATGCACACTTGCAAAATGTAGAAGGTATTGGAATAGGAAAAAAATAATAGTAAAATGTTTTGCTTCTTTTAAACAGCTGATTTTCATGTAGCTGCCATGCATGTGAGATTTTTGGACAAAGCTTTCACTCCTTTGACAAGGAAAAATGAGCACAAGAAAGAAGCGGCATACACACACAGGCACACATTTACATCCGCACACAACCAGACAGCGTGAAACTGGAAGCTTTCAAATAAATGATAGATGTTTTGATGGGATAGTTTCTGATCTCGCACACAGTCATAGCTTAACGTGTTGTGAAAACAAAATGTTTATTGTCAAATCAGCGTTGTGTTTCATCGAACAAAAATAGCCTAAAGCGTATAGAATTTGTGCAGCAATGAAGACTGTTAACAGATGCTTTCTAGACTGAGGCAATGCTTAATGTGTCTGTTAAAAGTGCAGCAATCTGCCTGATTATAAAAGAGTCTATGGCTCAGTGATGGGCAGATGAGAAGCTCATGAGGCATGTGTTTGCTCTGGCAAGCTCCTTAATTGTTTCTGTGTTTATACAAAAGACCACGCCACTGAAAACATTATTCTATCTCCTCATTTGTGTGCTCAAAGGATTTGATGGTATACAGACAATGGAGAAGAAAGAAGGCACAAGCGATTTGCAAAGCACAGCCACAAACTCTACACCTCATTTGTCTCCAACACTGTTCCCACTGCAAACCCAAGCTAATGAAATTAGTTTAAAATCTTTTGTACATCACAGTGACATTTTCAATTATATTTCAGAATTGCTGGTATCTCTGCTATCGATAGCTTTAAGCCTTTGCACAAGGCCACAGAGATAAATCCTTAAGTAACAGAGGCGTCTGAGAGTGATATCAGATGCCAAGAATGAACTGAGTAGTTATTGGATGAAATGATTAAGTGAATATAAGATAAGTGTATAAAGTCATGATTTTTTAGTTAAGCTTGAGAAGTGCAAATTATTTATCTAAATGTGCATTGATAAAAATAATTTCCAATAGCAAAATAGCTATATAAATACTGAAAATTAAGCACTAATAATAATTTTTTTTAAAACAGCAACACTGAATCAATTTATTTCACTCGTCTTCCAGCAGTGGAAGCCGTTTCTTCTTTTCCCCAAAGATATATTATTTCATTATTTTACTTTTATATCCAACTCATGCAAAACCTAAGCGTGATCAAGAATAAACTAAACTGGTTTCTTGCAAACACCCAACTCAGCCCTCTCTTCTCCATAGCTCATAGTTTTTAGTCATGGAGTACTGGCTAAAAAGTCTTCACGATCCATAGTCAAAAAAGATAAAAGGCCGGGAAATGTTGCCATCTGTTAAGCCGAGTCTCTACAGAACATCTCCCGCCACACAGAGACTCTCTAGTACTGCTGGAACAGCCACAATGGTGCTCTTACCTGAACCTAGATGGCTCTGAGTCCTCTCAAACCACACTCCCTTTCTTTTAGTCTGACTCCACCTGCCCCAGCAGAAACAATGTCACTCCTTGTTATTGCAGCTCGATGTCACAGTCCGGAGCCATCCATGACACAAAAAGGCTTGTCTGAGAAAACATTATTGTTATTCTGGAGCAGAATAGGAAGAGAGGGCTGGCGGGGGAACAGAGGCTCACATTGTCTCTATCTGAGCCGCAGCCCTGCTCCACTGTTGTTTCCTCCTCCAGGTCCTCCCTCCTCCCTAAGCAAGGGGAGCATGGCCAAATGACGGAAAGGTGATTCATCATTGGTCTACGACAGCTGCAAACTGGATTAGCCCTCCCCCAATCAACATGCAAAGCGGCTTAGCCAAGGTAAGCAGGAAGGGGTGGGGTGGGGGAGTAGTAGGGGGGGGGGGGGGGTAAAAGAATAAAGGTAGGCAGAGGGGTGAGGGGTTGGAGATAGAAGGGGCCGAAGAGCAGCGGAGTGTGGGACAGCCTTCCTACTTTCCTGCTGGAAGGAAGATGGAACTTGTTGAGCTAAAGCAAGTCAAGCGTGACACCCCTAGCATCTTCAGCAGATCTTTCATCTGCAATTGACACTATCTGAAATTTATCAGCACTCCTCCTCCAGGCATACTGACAGGTCCTAATGACCATCAGGGCTGCTTCCCACAGGCCTTCCCCAGCCTGGGGCCACAGCACAGTACGAAAATACGCAACTTCCATACTTCACAGCCGACTGCAACTAACAGAAACGCAATTTGTACGCACTAACACACACACACAAACACACACTTTCTATAAATCCCATCTTTCATTATGGCAACACAAAGGTTCATGCTTATGTCTTTTTCTTTTAGCACACAAAGACACATAACTCAAGCCTGTATGGCTGCATACATACACCCACACACACTCGTACACACGCACACGCGGGCACTTCAGAGGCCCCATATGAGTGGTGTAAATGCACACACACACACATCTCTCTCACACACAGGGCACTTTAGAGGCCCCCAGATCAGTGGTGCATCTCAGACAATGAAGGAGACTGGAAACAAGAACATGGAGAGCATATGGAGCCACATATGTTTCCTATGACGCTACGAATGCCTCTATTACTCTCCTTTAGCTGACAGTTACATTTTGCTGTCCACTCCCGCTCGGCTTGCCTCTTTGCAAACATCAAGCGCAGCCATATACTTGCATCGCTATAACACTATATTAGACCTGACTCCAGCCCACCATGGGAATAGGGGGTCCAAAAAAAGGTCAAAGGTATTCATCTGGTCAGGAAAAAAGACATATAAGGTCTTTTAAAAAATCCTGGCATGATTTTTTAATGGCCGAGTCTTTACATGAGCCAGGGTAACCTGAGCTCCATGGTCTTAAGTTTTTTTTTTTTTTTTTTTTCGGCAGGCTTTGCTATTCACACCAAGGCAAAGCCTTCATGAATGCCGTTCCAGCTTTGAAATTTGCCTTACCTCCCTCTGCTTATGG